GGAATGTGCTTTATCTCTGCATATTTTACCAACTTTGCATGTGCTCTTACATGACTATAGTTCAGTGATCACGCCTAACTATGCCTTATAAAAAGGACTAAGCGGACGTTGCAAATATAATCTGAGTATTTCGTCCAGAGTCGAACCCACAAGGAATTAACCTATCAATTACTCTTGTCAGACTCACTAAATTCTACGTAATTAACTTCCCAAATATTTTGAATAACAATTAAGGATATTTTTACTAACTATGACGGACTGCAATTAAGTAAATAAAGACTAACTATGATTAAGTTGTAAACAATTAAGAGAAGAATCTAAGGTTGTGATTTCCCCTATTGATGGAATCCCTTCTGGTTATGTTTCACATAGATTTGCCTAATCATCTCTATCAATCATGAGCACTCTTATTACGGTAAATCTCTCCCGAGTAAGTACGACAATTTACTAGACGCACTCTCCCGAGTTACGCTAGCTGGCCTTGATTATAGTTCACTTTAGATCACACCCAAGGCTTCGTTATCCCTAATCCTGCCTTTAAACCCTCGGTTATTGATCCCTCATATACTTTGGGAGTGGTGATGTTCAACAATTACCTAAATATGCACTCTCTCCCGAGTAATACATACTAAATAGGCACAGCTAATTGAGGATTCTATCAATTAACTACAATAAGAACGTAGTTGAAGAAATAGAGATTAAACCGGGCAAACTATATTAACATAACATGAAGTTCATCCTTCAATAGGTTCCATCAAAACCCTAGACTAAATATTTAGCTACTCACAGCAAAGCAAGATAAAACTACAAAAGTATTCATAATGTGCAATTGAAATAACAAAGAGAATATTGAAAAACTCTAATGGTTGATTGCTCTTCTCAGACTTGTTCTTGCCTCCAAAGCAGTCTAGAAACAAGCTTAACCTTTGCTTGGGCGAGTTTGTTGAGTTTATAAAGGGTTAGGATAAATTTCCCCCGATTTATACTTTAGTCCCAAAATTTCTAGGCAGTTACACAGTCGACCGCGGCCGCGGCAGAATGCGGCGCGACCGCGGTGAAACGCAACTATTTTGCCTCACTTTCTTGGCCTACCGCGGTCGCGGTGGCATCTTGCCCAGTACTCTTTGCCTCTTTCTTGCTTATTTTCGCTTGGGTTCTTCTTGATTGGCCTTTTATCCACATTATTGACTCCAAAATACTCCATAGTCTCATCCTAACTTGAACTAGTCCCTGCGAAGCAAAAGAACACCAATTAGAGTATTTTGTTATCATTTAGCCTTTAAAACAATAACAAAGTATGATATATTTAGAGTGCAAATAGCGTCTATGTAGCCTACTAAAAACACCCCACACTTAAATCGTTGCTAGTCCTCGAGCAACAAACAACACTCTATAGGCCTAATCATCATTAAGTCACTTCCCTACTCCCTATACCAAGAATAATTCACATGGATAAACTACGTCAGCGCAACCTCCTCGCCTCAAGAGTGGACTCCTTCCTAGCCACGCAATGCCCCTAAACAACTCTCCTACTCTCAGTCAGAGGTCCAGACTTACCTTCCTTTCATAAATCATGTGCCTACTCACTAAAAAAGAGACTTATATCATTTAAAAACCACACACTGAGGAATTCAAATACAACTTTCACTCACCCTCCGAACAAATTCTTATGCCACAAACAACACACTATAGGCTTGCCCATAGTGTAATACTCGACTAATCGAGCCCATTCGGTCTAGAATCAAATAGGACTTGATTTGGTTGTAATGTTGGTTGCGGGATGGGTAGGATACATCTGGGTATAGTGACTACACCTCCCTAAGCATTCCACTACATTGTGTACTTTTAAGCTCTTCACTTTATCACACCTTCCTTCCACCATTACATTATTGTATTAACCCTTTTTTTTTTCTTAAGCACACCTTTCTTTTAATAGCTGCCACCACTTTGAGGCTTCTCTCGTTTTTTTTCTTTTTCTGGTGGCCTATAATATTGTTTATCTGTCAGTGTATTTTTTTTTCTTTTTGTCCCCTTAATTCCACTTAACAACCCAACCAACCACCCCACACTTATATTTTTTCATATCCGTTACACTTTGAGTGCTTCTAAGTGGTGATAGGGTTCAACAAGATAGGCTATTTAAACTCGGGTTAGGCTTGTAATGTGGTTGCCAAGGGAAAATGGGCTTACAGGCTCAACGGGATTGACTAGGGTATACACAGTTAGGTGGGAACAAGCATATATAGAAGGGTTAAGCAAAGAAACGCCTATATTACTTTCCAGACCAAACAGAGCTACCATTTCGCTTTGCACACACACACAAGGCATGTTCTAGGCATTGAATGTTAACACAAAATACAGAAAACCTCACTCACACACGGCACATGACTCAATTCAGTTAGGATCATCAGACACTCTGTTCGAAGTACTTGAGCCATTCAAGAACACACAATTTAAGGCCTTCTTTGAGTCAACTAAAGAGCCTAAGTGTCACACTAAAGTAGTCTTTATTTAAGGTGCCATAGAGTTAATGGTCCCTATCTCCATTTTTTGTTTCTCGCCCAAGACTTCCTAAACTAAAAAGAAAAATTAACTACACCCAGTTCAAATAGAAACCCTTGGAAAAGAACCGTGGTTTAAAGAAAAATCAATGGGGAGTTGATACACTACCTAATCAAACGAAAATCTTTTTTTTGTTCGACTTATATCCCTCAAGAGACCTGTCAAGAGGTATCCGTCTTCAGGCCAAGTCAAAGTTAACTAATCATAAACCAACAATACCAAACAAACAAACAAAAAAACATCAACACCATACAAAGTTATACAATTTTTACAACAACAACCATCCCCCACCCCACACTTAAAGCTGTGGCATGTCCCCATGTCAACGAATATAAAACAGAGTAAGGTAAAGGGACTTCCCTAATGCTCAATCCTAATCAGATACGGTGCCAGGATCGAGGTGACACGCTCGTCCTAGTGCCTGGAGCCAGCCCATGATCTTTTTCTCCAACTTGGCATGTTGAGTAGTCAAATTATCAACTCTGGTGCCCAGGTTAGCGACCGAAGTGCAGAAACCAGCCATTTCTTGCTCCATGGTTGTCATGCGGGTACTTCGACGGGCCTGTGATGGGCCCGCCTCTTCAGCTCTAGGCTGTGGTAGGGCAGCAACATCCTTATCAGCCTCATCATTATCCTCAACCATCACTACCGGCTCTCTCCTAACTATGATTTTGCTAGCCCGGAATGGGGCTTTCAATGGCAATTTCCCATCTACTCGGGGATTTTCAGGGACTCGTGCAGCATGGCACAACTTGGTAACCAGAGAGGGGAAGTAGAACCCTTTGAGTACTTCTGGGAGTGAATGAACATCTCATCATGGAGGAGCTTGGCGACAACAAAATCCTGGTGGGTCATAAAATAGTAGATAGATGCTGCTCGTGGCCCATTGACATCGGTAGTGTTGCTGGAGGGTAGCAAACGACTGTTGATATTTGTGAGCCAACACTTAGCCTCCCAATTGAGAGACTGTGAGTTCAATGTGATCCGGTGCTTTATCCATATATGCTCCATGTCAGGCACACATATTGCTTCAAGAATCGGTGCCCACTAGATAGTAGGGCGATAATAAGCAATGTAAGTATCTCTATCCCAAGTGAATACTGGTAGCCGGTATACTCGGCGGATGGCCTCAAGGGACGCATTTACCCGGGTGTTTCGTACTGTGACCACCACATTTTCATGCTCTAGGCAGTTAGCGTAGAACTCCCTAACCATCTATACATTTGCCTCCTCCGGTTCATCAAAGAAGATGTCCAGCTAACACCTCCTCAACTTAGCAAAGATATTTGCGCATTCCACTTGCAAGGCTTGCCGGTCAATATGCACTTCAGGTAACAATTTCTTGGACGCCTTGGCATAATACCTATCCTTAGCTAGTTTGGCGCGGTGAAACTGTTCCGCACTAGCTTGACCCCGAGCTCTAGAAGAACTGCCCGGTCCACTAGTAGAGTTCCCTGTGGTACGTCTCTTCCTAGATTTATGCATTGTACCTGCTAAAAATAGAGCCTCCCATCAGCGAGTGTTTGAGTTGTATGAACCCTGGGTGGTTACTCAGACTTCACCACTACCATGGTCACATTAGCCATTACAACTCCATTGGGGCAATTTCACAAACACCTTGTGAGCAAGGTTCTATCCTTACACCCCTAGCCCCATGAAAACATCAATGTTTCCCGCAAATCAACTATTCTTACTTCACCATTCCACCCCACCACAATTAGTTTTACACACAAAATCACACATTTCTCTACAACATTGGACATATAACCCATTAAAAAGCAAAAAAAAAATCAAAAGAAAAAAAATCTACTATAAATACTACAACAATTAAGGCATTGAACTTGTAAAATACTAAAACAAAAATACAAGAGAATAAAGAAGGAAGCTTGACATACCTGGATGTAGGAGAGGGTGACATGAATGGAGGTTGGGGGAGATGGTGCGAGTGTGAGAGAGGTGAAGAAGAAAGGAGAGAGACGTTAGGGTTAGAGAGAGAGAGAGGAGATGGGTCAAAGTGGGGGGGCGGGTGTTTTAA